CCGCACAACTTTGACTGTCGAGTTTGGTTTGAACTTCTTGTTAACATCTTTCTTCTGGATATTTGTGAACCTCAATTTTATAAACTGCTCCCTTTTTTATACCGGTAAACGGCAATGTAACATGCGTGAGCCGTACTCACGATTTTTTTAGTTGATAAACTCTCATTTTTACGCCCTTCCACCCTGCTCATGCCTTCGATCACATGTCATAAAGGAAGCGTAAAAGAGAAAGAAATATCGCAACCAATTCTCACTATTTTACCTGTTTTCTAAGACATGGGGTGGGAGTTGTTCCACCAACGACCCGATGATACAGATTATAGAAGTTACATTCAAATTCAAATCCCTGTTCATAAGTTTTTCCTTGATTTCGTTGAACTTCGATGAAATTCTTCAAACTTTCATGATTTTCTTTGATGTTCTCGATTTTTTTTTCCTGGAATTCTCAGATATTTAAAAAAAAATCATAGTACTTTCCTAATATTATTAAATTTTCCCTGTGGTTCACAGACCATCCTAAAGTTTGCAAAAATTTCCTCACGTTTAAAGAACTGTTTGCAGAACATCATTGAAATTCATATAATGTTTCTATAGTTCACAGAACTCTCTTGAAGTTCGTAGAACTTACCAGGAGGACATTCAACTCCTCTGAAGCTCACAAAATGTCCCTGAAGTTGGCAGATCTGGAGAGCGAAGCACACCCTTAAAGTTTGAAGAATTTTCCTGAAGTCTTTCCTGAAGTTCAATGAACTTCTCTGAAAGTTATTGAATTTCTCTACTTCTTTGGAGGAACTTATTTAAAGTTTGCCGAACTTTCCTAAAATTCACTATAGTTCCATATAGTTCGCAGAATTTCCTAGAAAGTCGCTGAACCTTCCTGAATGTTTCCTTATTCAAAATATGGGAATTGCAATGAAGCTCTAGCAATTCTGTAGTAATTCAAGGTTAGTACTACCTAAACTCACTGGGCAAACGTAGCTAACTGCATGTGAGTTTCATTTCTGTATTATCGGAAAGACGATTTTCAAACCAATTCGTCATTGTTGCCAGAATTTATTTTCGATCTCGCCATTAAGTCAAACATGAATATTTATTTTTTTTTTAAATCCAAGCAAATTTAACTTCACCACCTGCTGAGTACGGGACACAAAACTTTCTGATACTCACTATCTCCTTTATTGAACTCCAGTAAAAATCTTTCAACGATCGTCGCTACTAAAGTGGCTTGATTTTTTTTTTACAGAGTCGCTTTTTTGAAGCACAACAAGCGAATTCTCTATTTTCTTCATGCAATTTTTTTTAACTTTTTTCTCCAGATTTTCTACACGATATCTCAAATAAAAACAAAAACACTCGAAACAGGACGAAAATCAATGCCTAGTACGATTACGTGGCTGCCTCAGACTGTCCTGCTCGTTTCTTTCTTTTTTATTCTTATGAGGAAAGAGAAATTAATTAAGAAGTTGTTCTAGCAAAAAATATAAATTGACTTTGGTCAAAGTCGACATAATCAATACGGATCTTACTTGAGAGTCAAAGAGAACTCTTTAATGCCATTTAGATTAATGCAATCATCATTTGAACCTTTTTTAACTGCATTTGTTCAATTCGTAATAGTTTTGTATCGTCAATAGTCCATATATGCCTTAATAATCGGCTTTGTAAACTTCAAATCACTTTATCTCAAAAAACCCAAGATGAAATATTTTAAAACCATCACAGATTTGATTGTTAGGATCAATACTAACATCCTGTCAAGGAAAATCTGAGGTACATGAATGTTGCAAAAAAAGTGCCTTCAGACGTAGCGTGTGGCGGTGGTTTGGTACAGTGACGATGGTTTGTTCGTACTGCCAGCTCCACCCCAGAGCGATGATATCGCGAGGCACTTCGTGTCCGCCGTATACAACCGATCCGGCATTTACAACATCCTCTCCCTTGTGGAGAAAGCCGAGAGCATCGAACGGAAACCTGATTCCGGTCACCCGACGATGCTGCGCGACCGTAAAGTGCAGCAGAAGCTGAGGACCAAGGGCAAGGTGGCCTCATCGTTCCGCGCCTTGGACCGGGAGATCGGAGCAACCGGCCAAACGATAAATAAGTACCTGGACAAGATGGACATTGTTATGCGGAAGCGTCAGTCGAGGCTGGCCGAGTCTGAACAGCAGGCAATCACCTAGAAGGAGCGGCTGAAGGTGCTGGTGAAAAACATCTTTCCACGACAAAGCGCATGGAAGACCGCCAACCCTCCCAGCTGCGACCGATAGAACATTTTCGGGCGAACCTCAAATGTAGGATCTATTCCAATAATTTTGTGGTCAAAACGGAGAAGCAGCTGATCGCCAAGGTCACGAAAGAGCTGAATAACATGCCGACATCGATCTTTACATCAGCCGTAAGACCACCCGGCAGGGCGCCGAAGCATTTTTGTAGAAGGCTTAATAAACGTAGGATTTAAGGAAGGTTTGTTCTATTGAATTGCCTTTTGTAGTTTGTTTCTTTCATCGCTATCCGAAATTAGTTCATTTATTTAATGCATACATCAGTTAAGCTTTGTAAAAAAAAAACTTGCGTTTCCATTTGCGAAACTTTGATTGCTGGAATTTCGATTATATTTAAGAGACCGCAAAGTTGCCCAATTTTCGTAAACTGTCTTGTTTTTGTAAATTTTCTTATTTCTGTAGATTTCTCCCAAAACGTACTGGCATCCCTGGTTAGGACCGTCAAAGAAATTGCGCATCACTGATTAATTGAGTTAGAATCATTCTAAGGATGTGTCTCCTTCAACAGAATAAAGGAGTTTTTATAAGTGTTGTAGATGTTCCAAGTCCGGGTTCCCGTTTTCCGATTCTCGAACGTGGTTGCAGTGGTCGGTTCCAGTAGAAATTCTGCTTAAAAGGAACAAATATCCCGCAACCCTATGCATACGAAGATTTGTACTGAAACGCAAACAAGTTCTCGAAACACCAAGAACGCTTTGTGAAACATTTATGTGTAACCGCTTCCAGGAACACGTCTCCCGTCGGAGTCCTCGCCCCGGAAAACTTTCACCCACAAATTTTCCCCGCATCCCATTTAAGCAACAGCACACTTATCCTCCCCCATGTGTGCAGTACATGTACAAGAATCGTCCTTAATCAGGAAAAGAACAGTTTTCGGTACAACTTTATCGCTTCCCGTCCCGTTTTTCCTGCCCTATCCCCCCAACTATAATCTATCTAAGGCTCACCTGTATCCTCGCGGCGACCCGTTCGTTGTGGAACCGCACCGGAACGAACCATCCGCGGGTCGAACCGGTCACCAGGACGATCCCGAGCAGAAAGAAGCACACGAATGCCGCAATGACGGCTTTGGCTCGGCCCGACACTACCATCGCCATGTTGTTTGGCACTCACTCACACACACGTAGAATCAGACACACTTAATTGATATGGTGATTCTTTTTTTTTTTTATTCTTTCCAACGCCGCTTTTGAATGCGTTGATATGTGTGCCTGCTCAAACAGCGGCACACAATTAATCGCCCCACCTGGCTCCTGGCATTAATTACTCGCACCAACGGGAAAAAATTGCACTTTAATTGATTAATCTGACATTTGCACCGGGAATTTTCAATTTTCAACTTTTGAACCGCGCAACCACTGGAGCACGACGCCGGCCGACCGATGGCGAGGGCGTCAGTCACGCGAAATTTGTTCCGCAATTATTCATCGATTGATAGAGCAAATAGCATCAATTTTATTTATTCAATCTATTTTGGGTGATTCTTCTTTTTTTTTGTTTGTGTGTATGGGAGTGGGAGGAATGTATATTTATTTTACTTTTGTACGCGAAATTGATGAGTTTGTATCAAGGGACACACGGTGCTGCCTACGGGTGAGCAATTTTTCACCAACTTTTTCCCAATTATTCTTGGGAAGCGTGCGGAGGAATTCAATCACTTTCAGCTCACTTCCGGTCGGTGTGTTGTGGAGAATGGATAGCACGGTAAAGGGAATTTCACTTTTGCTTGCCAGTCGAACCGATTAAGCTTTCCGTGTCCCGATGTAATAACACTTTTTCTTCGGGTCGTTTGCACTTTTCCACCTCTTTTGCTGCTACCCGGTTGACTAGAGCGGAGGGGGGCTGATTAATGGACACACACTTTTCTTTTCCCCACCGGACTCAAACTGGTGCTAGTAACACACACACACACACACATACGGCCGCACAGTTAGTCCGTTGTCGGTCCTAGGAGAGAACCCAATTAGGGTCGAATTTTTTGAGGATCGGCGGGGCGCCCGAGGTTCCACAACCCAGCTTAATGCTAATCGCTTAATTATTTAATTAGGTTTCTCACAGTCCGAGCTTTCGGTAGGTAGTTTCAGTGATAAATCTCTAACAATTAGTAACGGAGCAGAATGGAAAAGATTTCACTATAAATACGTGTTCCGAACTTCTTATTTTCTTGTTTTAAATAAACTCTTTTCGAACCTTCATGTTTAACGACTATGACTTTTATGTTCTTTTTAAAATACTCCTCCCGACATCCTCATAATTGACTCGCACACAGGAAACTTCCGTAATTAAAAACTTTCTTACTTTTCTCTAAAAAACTCATAAAATGTCTCGCCTTCAACGATATCACAGAACGTATTGATTTTTGCTTGCCCCTTGCCTGTCGCTCACATCCACCGCCACATTTGCGAATCCATCAAACCGAGCGAACCGGAACAAGCGACACGTCTTTAACGAGCCATAAATGTCACTCCGGAAGCGAACAGGATAAAAAATAAAAACGACCGAACCGAACGCACTCGCGCAACGAATTTACGACCGAACGGAACCTCCTCCCGGAGTCAATCCTTTTTCCCACTTTTCCGATCGCGATCGCCGGGGATCGAAGTCTCCTCCGGAGTTCAATCACGCCACACCGCCTTGCCTTAGGAAAGTTCTATTTTGTTTTTCCTTTCCCGCGAGGGGGCTGACACTTATTCAATTATGTTAATTATCTTCTTGTTCTTGTTGCACCGTTCTTCGGAGTGTATCAAATTTTGGTCACGTTCCTAATTTTTTTTCGGGTGTTATTTTCGGCTGCATGCTTCACTGACTCATTTCGGCGTCGTTGGAAAAAACTGTCGACGATGACAAACTGATGACCTTTTCGTTCCGTTTCACGACAATTTTTCGTGGGTGAATGAGAACGGTTTTGCTTGGGTCAGTTGGTTGCTTTTGTGACTTTTATCATGGGGTGGTTTTTGTTTTGTTTATACGGTTGATGGTGGATATTCTGTAAATAAAGCTTGCGTTGTAATGTGGGGCAACATTCCAACATTGGTGTGGAGCTTGCGATGGTAGCGGAATGGAGTATCTAAGGGTCGTGGGAATTTGAAAATGAATGGATTTTTCTCTAATGTCAGCATGATTATATACAATTTTAAAAATTCTATTAATTATAACTTCCGAGTTTCGACTTCCTTTTCAATGTAGATTTGTAATGAACCTCTAAATGGTGGTCTGACCTGGCGTAGCGGTTATAATTCATGCCTCTGACGGTGGTCTTTAAATAACACCAAAATTGAATGCAACTGCTTTTAAAAGAATCCACTCAAAGTAATAGAAGCTAACGAAAAGTTTGTATTTGTCTGTATCAGTAATTTTAAATAGTTGAGACCCGGAGGGGTAGAGTAAGTTATCTCAGAACTAGGTTTCAAATGCTCATTTCACATAAACAATTTGTTCTTACATTCAATCCAAGTGTTTTGTTACTTCATACGTGAAATTTAAGATATTCAGAGATGGTAAGAAATGCTATACTAATATCAACATGAAGCTTTAGTGCGATAATTTTTGAGCTAGAGAAATTTATAAAGAGTATTGATTGATAGTACAGCAGTTTGAAAATTGAACAGAAGTTGAAATTGAACGAAGGGCCATTAATACGATAATACTAATCAAATGCGCACTCCTTTGCCTACCTCAGCAAAACGGGGAAACAACTTCCGGCACTCCGTGGCCCTCGGGGTTTTTAGACTATACCTTTCCAGGTTGTCGATATGGACTCCAAGCTTCCCATACTTGGTGTCCAGCTGGCGGCACCGGTGAACATCTCCGTCGCATGTGCATACCTGCCATGCGGACGGCTGCCAAACCTGCACGATCAACTCAGCGAAGCCATAGCTAAACTACCGGAACCGCGCATCCTGCTTGGGGATCTGAACGGGCACCACCCAAGCTGGGGCTGCCCCCGCTCCGACCCTCGAGGTGTTACCCTGGTCGATATTTTTGAGAAGGAAGACATGGTGATTCTGAATGACGGTGTGCCCACGTACTTTAACGGGCGGCATACTTCTGCCATCGACGTCTCTGCTGTCAGCCGCTGCTTTGCCGGAAAAACTCAGTGGAGCGCGAACACGGATCTCTATGGTAGTGACCACTAACCCATCAAAGTTCAACTTTCGACCGCCATCTTCCCGATGACAACACGGAGGTCCCGATGGTGCTATGAACAAGCGGACTGGGATAGCTATTGTGAAGCCTTTCAGTCCTTGTTACTACAGCGTAATCCGAACAACATTGAAGACTTTTCAGAAGTGATATACGAAGCAGCAACAGCAACCATCCCAAAGACCAGCAGCGTTCCGGGGCGAAAAGCGCTACGCTGGTGGAATGAAGATACGAGGAAAGCCGTTAAAGCCCGGCGTAAAGCACTTCGCCGTGTAAAGCGCCTTCCTATCGGACATCCCGACTGTGAGGACGCTCTGCGTCACAACCATGAGTCGCACAATCAATGCCGGCAAGAAATCCGTTTGGCGACACGGATTTCTTGCCAGCACGAACCAGGTGGATGGACTTTCTGGAAGGAATGAATTCGTCACAGTCTTCGGCCGACTTATGGAGGTAAGTCAACGCCCTCAGTGGGAAACGGCGCATGACACCGCTCCACGTACAGATTAACGGTGAAACTGTTTCTGACCCTGCAATCGAGCGGACGAACTCGGCTCGTACTTTGCCGACCTTGCAGCCATCGAGAAGTACGAAGACGAATTCAAGCGGAAAGCTAAGCCTTCGACGTCATCCATTGCAAGTTTTTCTGTTTCTTCTGACGCTGGAAACTCGGACATCAACCAGGCATTCTCCTGGCTAAAGAGGTTACCAACGCCCAGGCCAGCTACGGATGCTGGAGCTTTTCAACAAGCTCTGGCTCACCAACTCGTATCCAGCGTCGTGGAAAGAGAGCTTAGTCATTCCTATCCCAAAAGCCAATGAAACAACCCGTGAAGCTAGCAAGTTCCGTCCAATAGCCTTGAAATGCTGTATGGCCAAGGTTCTGGAGCGAATGGTCAACAGAAGGCTAAAGCATTTCGTTGAAGCCGAAAACCTGCTAGACCATCGACAGCACGCCTTCCGTCAAGGGTACGGAACGTCAACTTATTTTGCAACATTAGGGGAGCTCCTCAAAAGTGCCAACGATAGCGGTCTCCACACCGAGATCGTCTCGCTGGATATATCGAAGGCCTTCAACAGGACGTGGACGCCCCTCGTCTTAGAGCAGCTTGTCAACTGGGTTCTGTGTGGACTTATGGTCCACTTCATCAAACATTTCCTGACCGATCGCTCTTTCAGAGTCGCAGTGGGCAACACGAGGTCCCAGCTTTTCAGCTGACGATGTACTTATCGTAGCTGCCGACCCAACAGCAGCACGTAACAGGATCAAGGCCCAGGCAACAGTCTCCGCTGTAGCCAGGTGGGCCAGCGCAGTAGGTTTCCAGCTTTCGGTCACCAAAAGCGTCAGGTGCCACGTGTGTCCATTAGAGTGATGCAAAATTTGAAATTTTCGCTCCACAATACTTAAACGATTCCAAATCGGATCCTGACTAACATCTCAAAATTTGAACCCATTTGGTGAGAAACTGAGATGGCACAAACCATTTGAAGTTTGTATGGGAATTAGTATGGTAAAACCAAGATTTTTGTTCATGTCTATCTAATAATTCACCATATCGATCTGCTTCAAAAGCTTTCATTTGTACTTGTAGTAAATTTTCCCAGCTACAACTTTGCTCAAGACCACTTTTTGATTAAATGCAAGGATCGAAAGTTATTAATGGTTCAATGCGCTGATGTCTTATGATCATGCTCAATCAACTGCTCAGCAGGCAACATTGGTGTTTCTGGGGCGTTTAATAGGACACAAAAATCATGGCTACTATGTCACACTGCAAAATACAGTGTTGCCTACAGAGCAGCCGCTTGATCATGTCATAAGTTTACCAATCTCTTAAATAATTAATAACTTTTTTCTGTCTCGTTTAACATAGAAAAAATCTTTAGCAAAGTTGTAGCTGAGAAAATTTTCTATAAGAATGGCTATTGAACTGTTTCGCAGCTCTATAAGGAAAAAGACTAGAAGGCAATGAACAAAAAGTTGAGATTTCCCATAGTAATTTACATGTAAACTTCAAATGGTTTGTGCGAAGTCTGTTTCTCACCAAATGAGTTGTAACTTTGGGAGCCTAATCAGGACATGGTTTGAAACCATTTAAGCACTGTGGAGCGAAAAAGTCAAATTTTGCATCAGTCTAGTGTCCATCCCGGCACCGTGTCAGCGGACCACCTATTAAAGTTCAAAACCAGCCCATACCACTGAAGAAGACGGTCCGTATTCTGGGGGTACTTGTTGACCGGTCCCTCAACTTCGAGCAGCACTTTAAGGCGATCAAGAACGACTGCCGCAGTAGGATCAACACGTCAATCGTCGATTTCCCGCGAATAAAATCTCAATTTCGAAAACTAACAACACTATGAGGTAGAGAAATGATTCCTCTATCATTTGGTATAGTTAGTTTACGAGATTGAGTTTTTATTGACGAGAAATCGGCGATTGACGTGTTTGTTTACAAAAGCAATTACGCCCAAATCTCAAATCACTCTGGAATTGTGACACTCGTTTCCGGGTTGCAAGAGCCGTCATCGATAGTCGCCTACTGTACGGTCTTGAGATGACGTGCATCGCCACTGAAAAGCTCGTGCAGATACTAGCAGCAACTTTTAACACCTACGTTCGGATTGTCTCCGGTCTTCTTCCGTCAACGCCCGCCGATGCCGCATGCATCGAAGCGGGTATTCTGCCCTTCCGCCATCGTATAACCGCAGCAATTGCAACGAAAGCCGCTGCTTCTACCGCAATGACCTCCAGAAATGACAGGATCTTTCTCCTTGATGAGGGGAACAGACTCCTCCGCATGACTGCCAATTCGGAGCTCCCCCAGTGGCCAAGTGACGGAGTCAAAAGTTGGCGCATACCTCCACCAAAAATCGAGAGTCGGATAAAAAGCAGGTTCAAGGCTGGAGATAACTCTGCAGCGCTGAAGAGAACAATAGCCGAACTGCTAGGCTCGGACTACCCAACCCATGCCCACATATACACGGACGGATCGCTTTCCCGAGCCGGGGTCGGAATTGGAGTAGCCGGAATTTCAGTACCGATGAGTAGCAGCCTACCACCACAATGCTCGGTTTTCTCCGCCGAAGCTGCGGCCATCTTTGTTGCTGTTACAACACCCTCGGACCGGCCCATACTGGTGCTATCCGATTCGTACAGCGTGATACAAGCCCTTACATCGGAGACCATGACTCACCCCTGGATACAGGGTATTGTGGAGGCCACACCTCCGAACACGGTGTTTTCCTGGATCCCTGGGCACTGCAGTATCCCAGGAAACAACGAAGCCAACAGCTGGCCCCCGTTACACCGACGAAGTGCCACTACAGGACATAAAGCGATGGATAGTCAGCAAAATGTGGGAAGCCTGGGAAGCAGAGTGGTGCCAACCCCAATCTCTTTTCATCCGAAGAATCAAAGGAACGACGAGCAAGTGGACGGATATGTCGAAACTACGGGACCAGAATGTGGTTTCTCGTCTTAGGACAGGCCATACAAGGATCTCACATAGTTTTGGTGGGACACAGTTCCATAGAATGTGCTACGTTTGCGGAACCACTGCATCGGTGGAACACATCCTATGCCTGTGTCCGCAATACCAACAACTACGGGAGCAGTACGCACTTCCCAACAGCATTAGGGACATACTGGGCGACGAACCTTCCACTTTAGCGACAGTTATTTATTTCCTCAAGGACGCTGCGTTATACAACAACATTTAGGTCCTTTTAACTTTCTTTTGGCTGACGGTACATCTCTACCGGACGGGGGATTACCCCTCCTACGGTGGAGCTCCGATCTCCTTCAAAACCCTACCTAACTTTGATGTACCAGATTGTTGTTTT